CACTGTGAAAAATCACATCATGTTGCTGCTGATCTGTTTCATGTTGCTGCTGATCTGTTTCATGTTGCTGCTGATCTGTTTCATGTTAATGTGTTCATGCATACTCATCTGCTCACACAGACTCATGTTCGTGCTGCTGTTCGACGTAATGATTTTATGCTATTAGTGCTTAGTGTATTATTTAGGTGATGTTTTTCTTAGTTCATATGTTAGATCTTATTAATGTTTTTCTTTTACATTTTATTGTTGGATGTAACTGGGACCCTGCGTACATAATCTCGTTCCACCACATGTACCACATGAGATGCGAATGACAAATAAATCTCTCTGACAAATAAATCTCTCTGACTCTCTGAAATCCCTCAGTGATGGGGGACATCAGTTTACTGCTTGTTTTGTTCACAGATGCACACACTGTGTTTAGAAATGAGGCTTCCACTGTCCTGAGAAACAACCTGCTGTTCCTAAACGTATTCAACCCATTTATTTGCAGTAACAAAAAGCAAGAACCAATGATGGTAAAACCTTATTTTATACAGTTTATCTTTATATATAAATGTTTGCTTTTAAATGCATGTATGCAATGTTCTAAATAATTCATACATCTTGTATGAATCAGTGGCAAAGCCTTTGTTTAGACAGTTGTCCTTGTGTTTTTAACAAGCTTTCAGTCCATCTCCACTGGGATTGTGGACCACTTCCATTCTGTCGTCACATCTCCGTTGAGTTTAAGACTTTCTTGCCATTACTCCAGTTTCCAGTTCCTGCCACGAGTTTGGGGCTCATATTCAGGTTTGGGCTCCAATACTCTGGGTTTTCTGATAGTCTCTTTAAGCTCAGGCCATAAAAAGTCATTTTATGCATGTTTATACATATTTTACTTATTTTTACTCATGATGCTGTTTGACAATAAAAGTTGACTACCTTTTATGCCAAAGTAAATATATATATATATATATATATATATATATATATATATATATATATATATATATATATCCATTCTCTTCCGCTTATCTGGGGTCGGGTCGCAGGGGTAGCAGCCTAATAGGGAGGCCCAGACTTCCCTCTCCCAACCACTTGGTCCAGCTCCTCCAGGGGAATCCCAAGACGTTCCCAGGCCAGCCGAGAAATATAGTCCCTCCATGGTGTCCTAGGTCTTCCTCTGGGTCTTCTCCCGGTGGGACGTGCCCGGAACACCTCACCAGGGAGGCGTCCAGGAGGCTTCCTAACCATAGATGAGGGTAGGAACATAGATCGACCAGTAAATTGAGAGCTTCGCCTTTTGACTCAGCTCTCTCTTCACCACGACAGACCTGTACAGCGCCTGCTTCACTGCCGACGCTGCACCTATCTGCCTATTGATCTCACGCTCCATTTTTCCCTCATTCATGAACAAGACCCCAATATACTTAAACTCCTCCACATATATATATATATATATATATATATATATATATATATATATATTTATATCCTCAATGTCTGTAAAGATAATTTGAGTTTGCTGCTTTGCATGTCAAAATTTTCAAAAAAGATTTCATCCTATCCGTTTCCACTTGAAGTAACCTAATTATAGCCCAATATCTGAGTAGTGTTTTTGTTTCTTTGTTTGATTGCTAAGGTTGTTAGCTTTGGTGGCCATGTTGAATCAGACTGACTTTAAAAATGAGTCTGGCTTTTTTTTTTTGTTAAGTCCATTTCATAGGATTAATGGAATATAAAAGTTGTACAAATGTTCCCACAATAAATGGGACCACTCAGGGAGAACTGAATGCTTGATGTCTTTATTTATTTTATATGATTTAAAAAAAAAACTTTATTACAAGAACTGTAAAAAAAAATAAAAACGTAAAATCAAGGACTCATCTGTAAGAGCAAAAAGTCTAAATGCACAATAATAAATTACTGAATGTGGTTTTATTGACTCGTCGACATACAATACGTCCACTTCTCAATACACTCAAAGGGACAGGCAGCATTAGAGCTTCTCACATCATGGAGATAATGTGATGTAGTGACACTGAGTGTTTTTCTCTGACTCTAGATGTATGCGCCAGAACTGGATGTCATTTCTTAAGTGGCTCCATTATGTTTGTGGTCAACTAATGGTAACCTAATACAGGACCAGATGCATATAAACACATGCTCTGGACACAGAGCAGCACAAGCTTTCAGGCTGTTTGAAACAGTTTTGTCTATCGCCCTGGGATAATGGCTGGTACCATGCATCATTTACACGAGACTCAAGCTTGGGTATGTGGACAGAGCAGAGGATTGTGGGATGGATTTGTTAGTAATGAAAGACAGTTATCATGTAATTTTATATGGAGAGACACTTTTCTTCAACCAAAACATTAGGGTTAGACAAGAACACAAATGTTCACAAGAATAAGAACCCACAGCCACAGACACTTCTGATGAGTTTGTATTTATTTTTATGTAAGTGTGAGTTACTATTAGAACCCATATGCTTGAGTAGTGTTTTAATCAACAGTTAATAGTGATATTAATTGTGTGTTCAGAGTGTAAATACATAATGAAAAGTTTCTATTATGTATTCGAACAAGACTTTATTCTCACACTTCATGAATGAGAATTGAAACCCCAAATCTGACTGCCAGTAATAATAATAATTTGTTGTCGATGAAGACGGTCGCTCCCACCCTCTCTCCCTCCCTCCTGCTTTTTTGCTCTCGTCCTGTAAACCTCATCAGAGCCTCTATTTACACATTTTCCGAATCGAAAAAATATTTTGGATTTGGTCAACTGGTCCCTCAACGCAATTGATTAAAAAAATTTCTACTGGACAACGGGGTGCTGGAGAGCCCTCATGCCCTGAATGGAACCGTGCAGCTGGGTTTGTCATTGATTCCTGGGGGGAGTGGAAGATGATGTGTCTATCCGTGCTGTCTGTGGAGGAAGTAAAAGATGTGTACATTATTGGATTTATGATAACACGATTTTCAGCTTTTTGGAGCCGGCGGATAACTTGGATATCGACAAATTAGGAAGACGTCAGCAGCAGTTTCGGCCATGGTAAAGCTGCCAGCCTTATGTGAAGGATTAATTTGTGCCTCGAGCTCTCAGACTCATATGCTTAATGAGCTCAACAGCAAGCTGGACATGATTTCTGAGAATCGTAGGCCACTTGCGGCTCCTGGAACTTGCCGGCATGAAGGATTCAACCTTGGAGAAAGCTAACGAGCACAGACCGGGCGGAATGTCCACAAATCTGGCTGTTTGGATTCACCATTGAGTGAACCAGCAGAACTGAAGGCAGACAGAAATCAGAGTCTGGCGGCCCAAAACAATGGTTCATCTGAATTTGGTCTCCCCGCTGGCCTTGGACAGGTCAACTTATCTCAAACTGCTCCTGGAGGATACGTAAACTAGAAGCTCTGCCTGCCCCCGAGGACATCTGTGGCCTTATCAGAACCATGATGCTGATAGACACTGTGCCATCTTATCAGAACTTTAGAACTTTCTGAAATGTCTGTGGACAACTCACCGCCTTTGTTGACCTCTATGCCTAAATATATTATGATGTCATTAAATGTTTCTGTTTTATGTTGCAAGGTCTTTTTTTGCATATTTTACACTGTGTCCTGGCCAGGACATGGTGTGAGACATGTTTTTTTGGCTTCCTCCATCCTCGTGTTCTCTTTTTCTTTCCTGCCTTGTATGTTGTATGTAGGTCTCTTTTGTAAATTAATCTTTGAGGCTCAATGGGAATGAACCTGTATAAATAAAGTTATAATAATAATAATAATAATAAAAACTGAAATAAATAATTTAAAAAATGCATAACAAACAGAAAACAAAAGCCAAACTAAAAAAAAAAGTCAATCTAAGTTGGTAAAAAAGGATTCGATTCTTTTTTTTTTCTGTCCAGTCCTTGCAGAACATCATATTGTGCAGAGTGGGCAAGTGTCTGGCCTAAAAGCTTATCTAAAGCAGATAAATAACAAATAAAATTAATCTTCTTTTTTTTTTTTTAAAGAAGAAGAAAATAAAAAGAATCCAGCCAAGATGTGACATGCGACCTTACAGATGTGCCATACTTCAGTTGATCATCTGTATGCCAAGTTGTTTTTAGCAAGGTCAAATATTTTATGCAGGTCAGACTGTGTTAACTTTGTTGTTTATATATATATATATATATATATATATATATATAGAATTAACAAAAGAACGAGAAACTATTTGTGTTTTTATGACAGGTTGAGATTTAGTATTCATTCATTCAACCTTTATTTAAACAGGTTAGTCTCATTGAGCGTCCAGGACTCATTTACAAGAAAGACCTGCTTTTAACAAAGAATGATGACAACAGTAGACATTCATCAAATAAAGCATATACATTTCAAAATAAATCGAAGAAAATTATATTAAAAAATGAAACAAAAACAGCTTATAAAGCGATAGTATATTACTAGCTAATACATTAGTAAGTTTCTAACTAAAGATACTACTGCTGTAAAACATAAATAGCTAGTAGTTCAGTAATTAATAGAAAAAAAATACTATAATGCTGTGCCTTTTTTTAAGGAGTGTCTTTCGTCTGCCCACTCTCCCATACAGGCCTGACTGGTGGATCGCTGCAGAGATGGTTGTCCTGGAAGATTCTCCTCTCTCCACAGAGGAACGTTGGAGCTCTGATAGAGTGACCATCGGGTTCACATCTCTGAGTCCCTTCTCCCCCCATCGCTCAGTTTAGACGGCCAGCCAGCTCTTGGAAGAGTCCCGGGTGGTTCCAAACTTCTTCCATTTACGAATGATGGAGGCCACTGGGCCCATTAAAACCTTCAAAGCAGCAGAATTTTTTTCCTGTATTCTTCCCCAGATTTGTGCCTCAAGATAATCCTGCCTCAGAGGTCTAGTGATAATTCCTTTGACTTCACGCTTGGTGTTTGTGCTCTGACATGCACTGTCAACTGTGGACCCTTATACAGACAGGCGTGTGCCCTTACAAATCAAGTCCAGTCAACTTACCAAAGGTGGACTCCATTTAAGTTGTAGAAACATCTCAAGGATGATCAGTGGAAATGATCTGAGCTCAGTTCTGAGCTTCATCGGTCTTCACTCTGGCTGAAGAAGTGTTTTGGATAAAAGACAAAACTTTTCAACAAAGAAGAATCCATTCAGAGAACCTGACTTAACCTTGTTAGCTCCAAATAAGTTCTTTGTGAGGGTATATCTCACCAAGAACTTTTATTCAGCATCGGCCAGAGATAGCAGATTTATGGCTCATCTAATGAACATAAGAAATCAATTTCGGGACTTCTGGTCAGAGTTCTTCAAAGAGGTGCAAGAAGAGCACCTTATCATCAAAACATTGCCTCACATCCGGTGGTATCTGGCTCCTAAAAGCCCAACTCCAAACCACCTCCTACTTAAGTGATGGGTTTTTTGCATGAAACCGCTGTCTCTAAACCTTTCACCAGAGCCACCATCTAACACGCTCGCCCAAACCACTCTGCCTGGTTAAATGTGCTACAGTGTGCAGAAACCCTGTGGGAACATTTCAACTGCTCTAAAAGCTGGACTCACGTTCTCAGACATAATGGGAGGAGGTGGTTAATGAGATGCCGTAGGATTACAGTAAAAAATAAATAAATAAATTTGAAGGTCGATGATTCCACTGCCGAGATTTTTATTCCCTTGATAAGCAATTTTAAGTCCCTAAATTCAGAACACGATTGTTTAAATTGCGTCAATACTTTAAATTTACCTTTTTTTATATAAATTAATTTGTAAAAAAAAAAACTACCTCAGGAGTGAAATCAAATTGGTACATGTATCTATTAGCTGCCATTGACCAAAGTGCAGTACACAAAAACAATAGTGTTAAAACAGTTCAAAAACATTTAAAAACGTGACTAGACACTAGAAGTAAAACCACTAAAAACACATAAAACGTCAACATGTTGTCAACAACCAGTGAGTACAATGTGGTTTAAGATTGAGACATAAAAACTCCAAGAGCTGAAGCCTGTTTTATATGAAGCGTCAGCTAGTTTCATGGTTTAGAAGCTACATCTGAAAAGAACTGATTGCCTTTTTGGACCAGTGTAACCTGGACCTCGGGATAACTAAAGACCGAGGCCTCGTGTAGCAGTGATATTTGCTAAAAAGTTACTTAAACACACACATTAGGATTAATTTGGTTAACTACTCCACATTTTTAGGCCCACTAGGTAACTAGTGAGTCTTGTATCTAAAAAATGCCAAGTAGTGAAACTGAATTTGGCCTTATTAATAAATTAGTAAGATTTTAGGCACACTAGTAAGAAGAAGAAAAAAGTGTCATCTGCATACATGTCAACCCTTGAAATGTCTGTCTGTATATGGTCCTTCAGAAATCCATAAAATTCAGAAAAAATCCTTAGTACTCCATAATAACACCAACTTTATTTACAAATATTATGTTGAATTAATTTAGTTAAATATAACTGAATATACACAGCACAATCCAGAAAACACCTCGCTGTCCTCACAGGTCATCCAGGTTGTGTTCAGTTGCAGATATTGATGGTTAAATTATACCAAGGCTTTGGAACTCGTCACTCTTCCTGAAGCAGTGATTCATACACCATGTTGAAGTTTCTATCAAAACAACATTGTCATGTGAATGACATTCAAAGCTGTGGGCATGATCAATGCTTCATTTTGCTCTGCTGGTCATAAAATTAGAATATCATGAAAAAGTTGATTTATTTCAGTAATTCCATAAGTGAAACGTGTATATTATATTAAGTCATTACACACAGACCGATATATTTCAAATGTTTATTTATTTTAATGTTGATGATTATAACTGACAACTAATGAAAACCCTAAATTCAGTAGCTCAGAAAATTAGACTTTGTGAAAAGGTTCAATATTGAACACACCTGGTGCCACACTCTAATCAGCTAATTAACTCAAAACACTTGCAAAGGCCTTTAACTGGTCTCTCAGTCTTGTTCTGTAGACTACATATCATTGGGAAGACTGCTGACTTGACAGCTGTCCAAAATACGACCATTAACACCTTGCACAAGGAGGGCAAGACACAAAAGGTCATTGCTAAAGAGGCTGGCTGTCCACAGAGCTCTGTGTCCAAGCACATTAACAGAGAGGTGAAGGAAAATATTTGGTAGAAAAAAAAGTGTACAAGCAATAGGGATAGCCTCACCCTGGAGAGGATGATGAAACAAAACCCATTCCAAAATATGGGGGAGATTCACAAAAAGTGGACTGCAGCTGAAGTCAGTGCTTCAAGAACCACCACGCTCAGACTTATGCAAGACAAGGGGTTCAGCTGTCACATTCCTTGTGTCAAGCCACTCTTGAACAAGAGACCGCATCAGAAGCATCTCGCCTGGGACTGCTGAGTGGTCCAAAGTTATGTTCTCTGATGGAAGTAAATTTTGCATTTCCTTTAGAAATCATTTCATTTTCATTTACCCTTTATTTATAAAGGGTAAGTATCCAGTGTCGTTTCCATGGTCAGTGATGGTTTGGGGTGCCATGTCCGCTGGTGTTGGTCCACTGTGTTTTCTGAGGTCCAAGGTCAACACAGCCATCTACCAGGAAGTTTTAGAACACTTCATGCTTCTGACCAACTTTATGGAGCTGCAGATTTCATTTTCCAACAGGACTTGGCACCTGCACACAGTGCCAAAGCTACCAGTACCTGGTTTAAGGACCATGGTATCCCTGTTCTTAGCCAGCAAACTCGCCTGACCTTAACCCCATAGAAAACCTATGGGTATTGTGAAGATGTGATACACCAGACCCAACAATCCAGAAGAGCTGAAGGCCACCATCAGAGCAACCTGGACTCTCATAACACCTGAGCAGTGCCACAGACTGATCAACTTCATGCCACGCCACATTGATGCAGTAATCCAGGACAAAGGAGCAACAACTAAGTATTGAGTGTTGTACATGCTCATACTTTTCATGTTCACTTTTCAGTTGGCCAACATTTCTAAAAATCCTTTTTTTATTGGTCTTAATATTCTAATTTTGAGATAATGAATTTGAGGTTTTCATTAGTTGTCAGTTATAATCAACATTAAAAGAAATAAACATTTGAAATATATCGGTCTGTGAATAATGAATGGATATAATATACAAGTTTCACTTTTTGAATGGAATTACTGAAATAAATAAACTTTTTCATGATGTATGACCAGCACCTGTACATTGGCTCATAAAATTTCTGGCTAAAATGACTTCTGCTCCATCTATTTGAGAAAAAGTGGCCCTAGTTGGCAAAAAATAAATACTAGCAAAAGTATTTGTTGAATTAGTGCAGTGCATTGTGGTTGTATGCTAAATTTAAAGCTAAACAAACAAAACAAAAGAAAAAAAAGTGAAAATTAGTGGAAAATTATTTATTTCAGACTGAAAACATGACATAAAAACAAACAAATGCATTTTTTTCCCCAAGAGCACAACACAGAAGGAACACAAATCTGCAGGTCTTTGTATTGTCCACACTGAAAAACTATTAGCTCCAACAATCTTCAGAGCTGTTTACCCAACATCACCTGCCCCCGTGGCCAGGACAGGACAAAAAGTACGCAGGTCCCCGTCTTTTCACTGAGGTGAAGACCTGATCAAAGATCACATAACGAGTTTCCAGACGTAGTCACAAGATACGCAATTGTACTCTTAAAACTAAACGTGCAGAATAAAAACTACAACTCGAGTTTGTTGACGGGCCTGAGTTCAATGAGAGTAGAAACAGTTGGTCCAAGGTTTCTGGGTCCGATGTGTCTTTAGTCTGACTCTTCTGCTGAACTGGAAGGTGTGGACGCAGCCTGTTCCTCCTCTTCATCAGAGTCCTGAAAAAAAAAAAAATAACGGAGGGTCAGTTTGTCCAAATATTAGACAGAGCCGATATAACAATGAAGAAGTCCGAGGGTCACAGCAGATTCAGTTTAATGGATGGTGCCCAATGTGTTTTGTTTTAATGCCACAAAATGAAACAAAAAGAAAATATTGATTTCCTGTGATAAAACAGTGTGAACGCTGCGAGCCGAACAACAGCTGAAATTCACTGAAGAAGCCGGAACTGTTAAAGTGACAATAATAGAACAAAAGCAAAAATCTGCTAAACATCTAAAATTAGCAGAACCACTGATAAAAGCTAAAATTAGCCAAAAAGCTACAAGCTAAAACCAGAACAGCAATTAAAAGTTGAAGTGATCAGAACAGTAGCTAAACGTTCTAAAGAAAACAATTAATACATTTTGTGCAAAGTCTTTCTAAAGTTTTAAGTGATCTAAATACATTTGGATGGAAATAAATCGCAAATAAAGTGAAATTGTTACAAAAACCAAAAGTCAAAGCTGAAATTTCCTGAAGGAGCTGAACAGTTTGATAAGTGATCGGTTAAAATTTTTCAATTATGTTAGTAAAAAATGAATAAATAAAAATAGTTGAATTTGAAAACAACGGCAGGAGTGAATAAAATTATTTTTTCAATTTCTCTAATAAGAACAAATAGCTGTTCTGTTCATGCAGCAGTTACTTCCAAATTAATTTTTTATTTCACAGCAGAATTCACCAGGACAAAAATACATTGTTGCAAATCAATAAATAAAATCTGACAAATTATTTACCGTATACACAAAACTGTTCTTTAATACAGTCTTTGAGTTGCTGTTGTCTCCAGTTTAGCTCATTCTCATCAAGAGCTGCAAACGTTCAGCTTCTCTGAGGCGAACGCTGCTTCAGTTTTAAGCATCAAAAATTTATTTTGGACAAAAGTCTTGGGAAGAGAAACAGCTGCTGAGTTTCTTAGCATTCTTTTTCTTAACCATTTCTTTAACTACAAAAACAATTTGAGCTTCAGCGACTAGCTGTCCCTCTTGTCTTTCAGCAGAATTACTCAGCGACTACAACAGAGTGGTGTCAAGAGAAACAGGAAGGAGTTTATCTGGTCAGATTTCCCATCACACCTTTTTCCTCTTGGCTTTGCTCTTGTGGTCGGAGTCGGAGGAGCTGTCCTCGCTGGTCTCGATGAACTCTCGGCTCTTGAAGCTGTCGTTGCCTCCTACCCTCTCCCGGTCCCGGTCCTTGTCTCCGCCGGCAGACTTCCTCTTCTTCTCGTCTTTTTTGCCTCCAGACTTTTTACCCTCTCTAATGGTAGAATGTGGGGAGAACAAGAAATGAATTGTGACTCTGGCGTTACACAAAATAAACGATGGAAAGCCATTTCTGTGTCGTCGGCCTCACTTCTTGGCAGTCGAGGACGATCCTCCGCCGCTCTCTTTGTACTCTTTCTTTGCTTTGTCGTATTGCCTCTTTGCCTCTCCTGCTTTTGTTTCCCACTCCTGAAAAACAAAATCAGTTTAATTAAAACGCTGCTCTGCACATTTAAATTTAAAAACACCCGAAGAGCCTGTGATTTGATGAAATGACCTCTCCAACACAAAGTTTTGGGTCGTTATATTATCAGACGTCGATTCGGTGAAGCCCACCCCCGCCCTCACCTCCTTCTCGTCTTTGCCCAGCTGTCTCCACATCTCTCCGGCCTTCTTGGATATCTCGGTGACGGAGATGCCGGGGTTCTCCGCCTTGATTCGCTCTCGGCTGGAGTTGAGCCAAAGCATGTAGGCGCTCATCGGCCTCTTCGGACCGCCGCTGTCCTTCGGCTTCTTCTGCTCGGATTCAAAGAACAAAACAAAAACGATCGGTGAGTAAACCTGTTCGGTTCTACACGTTTACAGAAAAGACGCCTCTTTTTAGCGTTGGCGTCACAATATTTCTGGGATGGTCTCACCTCTTTGCGAGGTTTTCTCTCTTTTCTCTCCTTCACCACTTTCGCCTTTTTGACCTTTTTCTTCTTCGCGCCCTCGTCGTCACTGTCGCCCTCTTCGCTGCTTTCGCTCGCGGAGGCGTTACTGTCGTACCTGATTGAAAGGTAAAAAAAAAAAAAAAAAAAAAAAGGCAAAGTTAGGTCAAAACAAACAAGATGGAGATCAGGTTAACAAAATATACATGAAAATAAAAAACTTACTCTTCAGCAATTTCATCATCTTCCTCTCCGGGGTTGAAAGACTCGTCTAAAGAGAAAGGAAAGCCGGAGTTCAACCCAAACTATTTTAACACAAACTCTCTCGCTTTAACGAAACCATTCCTCACCACTTCCACTTCCATCCGACTCGTCGCTGTCGTTGCCCTCCTCCCTGATCTTGCCCTCAGCCTTCATTCTCTCCAGGTAGGCGTCGTGCTGGTCCTCATCGGAGTCGCTGTAATCGACGGCGTTACCCTTCATGCCCTGGAAGAACACAGCACAGTCACAGAACACAACGAACACGGATCAAACGATAAGTTTTATCGTCTGACAACCCGCCACAAAAAGATGCACCTAAATACGCCAGCTGGTGATTGAATGAAAAACCTCAACGAGCCGCAGACTTACCACTGCAGAAAACTACAGATGCATTTTTATTACTCCTCTTGTGCGTTCGGACTTTATTTAAAAAACTTCACTGAAAATGCAAGCAGCTAATCATGGCTACGTTCACACAGCAACTCTTAATCTATCTAAGATTATTATCTGATAAGGATAAAATGGCCGCACTTTCTACAGTTGCAGCTTCGTGCACTCCGCCCATCTTTCGGACGACTGTACGTACATATTCGCGTTGTAACTCGGTGCAATTCCAATAAAGTTTATTCTGATTCTTTTATTCTGATTAATGTGATATTCCATGTTTTTATTTATTTATGTTTGTATGTTTGATCACATTATAACTCGACTGTGACCTTCATCTGACTCCAGTGCAAACTCTCGATGACTCTGATGCAACCGGCAGGCGCAGAAGACGACGTGGCGTCACGCGCAGCACGCTGCGTTTACAGATGATAGACGCTACATGTTAGCACGTAGCCTCACTCACCAGACGACTTGAGGACTGAGACGTGTTCCGACAGCCTCGGTCCATTCAGAAGACACAGAGGTGGCGAGCGGGCTCAGAGACAGCCTACAACTGATGCACCTCTGAACGATGTAATAACAGGGCCGAGCTGACTGACGTGATGAAAAAATAAAAAACACCTGCAAAGCTGCGGCTCAGTAATGTGATGAACTGACGCATTAGTTGCGATCGCTTGCTTGTGGGATTAAACAGCAGCAGATTAATTACCAAGGGAACACTGATAGTGATGCTCCTTGCAGTTAGTTTAAAAACAGTTAAACAAACTGGATCGCTAAAGCGAGTTAAATTCTTGTAATTGGTAAACGACGAGGCAGACATCTTCACGCTTCAGCCCAGTAGAGTTCTTCTGCTCAAAGCTCACATCCGAGTCGAATGTGGCAGCTTCATTTGTGATTTAAAGAAGCTTAAAGATGGACTGGTCTGGGCGGCCATTTTGTGGAAGTGTCTTCTGCATATGCCATGTGTAAATCGATTCTGAAGTTGTTGTGCAATAAGAGCCAATTAAACTATTATGACATGAATGTTTGGTCTAGTCGTTGTATTTGATCTCGCCTCCTCGACGGCTCCTCCAGGAGTTTTATATTTCTGAAACGGGAGTGACAAATACTGATCCCATCACATTAGTATTGATACACAATCCAACACTAATGTAAGTATCATGTGTTGCCGTAGATTCTCAGCCATCCAAAACATGGCCATTTAAAAAAAATGAAACAACAGAACTTCTGTTCTGTAGATGAAGCCATGCAGAGTTCCAAGATTTAAACTGTGATGATGGTATTCTTATTATCAATATTTACATTGATCCGCTAATCAGTTTTATGTTATTTCAGTGGAAAACCTTTCAATTCTGTCACCAGATGACTGACCGGTCTAAAACTTTTTTTTTTTTTTACATTTTAACCCGCAGTTTGAGAATGCTCCGATGCTCAACATATCTGCTTTCACTTCAGTACTAACAGGTAGAATACCAGTAAAGGACGTGATGCTGATTCAAACATCGTCATGGAAACCAATCTAAACTTTTTTCTCCTCTCGTCTCCGTGCGTCAGTATCCACATCTGCCAGAAACGACCGGTTTGTGAGGCGGCCGATAAAGCAGACAGGAAATGGATGGACAGATCCATTTGTTCTCGCTGACCTCCTCCGATGACCCCATCGTCATGGCAACTGATGGCCTCGTTGCCAGCAACATTATACAGCTCTCTGACTGTCCTCAGACTGACTGGAAGCTCAGACAGGTCAGCGGACGTTACGAGCAGAGCAGTCAGCGCTGAAGCAGCGGATATGACGTCAACAGCGTCGAGAGTTAAGGAGCACCAGAAACACCCCCCCCCAGGCGGCACATTAGTCAGACACACACACACACACAGTTATCAGAGTTATCAGTCACACAATGAAATCCACATCCCATGATTAGCCATTAATCCCTTTAGATTCATCCCCCAAACTAATCAGTAAACCAGATCAACC